GCCGCCGCCCTCTGCCGCGCCCTCGCTCCGCACGTGCACGTGGGCGCGCGCGACGCCGACTGCCGCACGGCGCTGCACGAGGCCGCGGCCGGCGACGACGAGCGCGCCGTCGGTGTGCTCCTAGAGCTTGGGGCTGATGTGCATGCAAGGTGAGGGGAGAGCTGTTCACTCGTAGAGCAAGTTTCACTCAAGAGCACGTTCAATTAGTTCAAACCTCTTCCTTTTTTCATACTTACGTAGTAGGCAGTATGTTCTGCAATGCTAAAGCTGAAATCGAAAATTCTTTAACAGAAAGTATTGTCGGAGTTCTGGTAACGAATTTGGATAAATCGTGTTCCTATGTATGTTGCTTATTTGTAGGGAACGAATGAAGGTACAAAGGTACCCGCCTGGATAATCCGAGAAGAATTTAAAACACGTTTTGTTGTCTGCATTTACTTCCCGTTTACACATCCTGACGCTACATATTTGACACATCCAGACCTCGACGATTGAACCTTTATAGTTTGCCATTCCCATGAACTCTGTTGAACATGGATTGTTGTCTTACTGCAGATAAAGAAGTTTTATTGGACAGGGAATTATACTAGGATTTATTTAACCGGGCACTTGACGAAAACTAGCTGTTCACGAATTCATCCGATGTGAGGCTTGAGCGTCTCCATAGTGACGTCACTGTAGCGACATATAATCTCTCGATCGGTTGAAACCGCAACAGCTGATTTACGTCATGAGCACCACTAAATAAATCGTCCTTTAAATGTTAACACCCACTGTTTCTGACAGTCAGTTTTACAGCAAGAATTCCGTTGTGTATTAAAAATGTGTGCTAAACGTAAAATTACACGCGCACCTGTAGAGTATCGGAATGATCAGAAAGCCGAAAAAATGTAATGACAAGCGATTAAACACTAGTAGTGAGTGCTATTGAAATTGACTTCGTCGACGAGTACTGTCAATAAGAATGGCTGTACGTAAGTCTTCATAGGACTCCTTTTCTTTTACTTCCGTGCACATAACATACAAATGCAAAACGTAAATTGCATATACAAGCTTGTTTAATAGAAAACACCACAAAGCACATTTGTTTTTGAACTGTCATGTACCACATTCTCATTTACTAAACACTCGTAACAGATCTCGTTGCATTCAACATCAAACACATACATTTTACTTGTTTTATTGTGACATTCAGAAATATAACATCCTGAGTATTGTGCAGAAAAAAACAATGTGTCAAATGACAAACGTTTATGTCATATGAAAAAGACGCATCGTTATAATATCCCGCGATATTTCGAACGAAGTGAACCACGGACACATTCTGTTCCATTTTCAAATAAGTGTTTTCTCTTGTCTCACAAGAACTTACAATTATTTCAATCCAACATAAATATATTTCTTTGAGTTTACAACTTTCTATTTTTAATTTTATGATTAATTTTCCATCTCTACAATTGTGAACGATAAAATTCGTATTAACTATTTTTTTTTTAAAGCAAGAAAGGTCCTGTGATTTACTTGCTTGTTCTCACTTTTTCTGTGTTCGCGCTTACTAAGAAAATTTCAGTGAAATTACTAAAATACTTTTTAAGTTTCAAGGAATGATACTGTAGAGAGAGATAGTGAAATCAAATTTTGAAATATAGCAAAGAGATTAAAAAACGTCTTGGTAAGGTTTATATTGGTAAGGTAATATCTTGGTATGGTTTTTCAGGAAATATATTTTTAAAATAACTAAATTGACTTATTCTCAGTAAATTATCAATTGAAAATAAAACCAATTCTAGTCAATTTTGTCGAATTATTAGATTTTTAAAATGGCTAATTCAAGTTTGGTAAAAATGTATAAGAAAAGTGATATGTATCAAAGTTGAATATTGTAATGCAATGAAGTGAAAAGTGTCTTGTAACACACCAAAATTAATAGGGATTACTCCCTAGCATTGCTACGTGAGATTAACAAACTTCTCGTCCTTGCGGAGAAACAACTTTTTATCATGCAAGAAACTAAGCAGTGGACGAAGTTGCAAAAACACTAAAGTATTTGACTAGTGGAAGGTCATTAGTCATTACTTTTGCACTCGCTAGAAGCCATTTTTGAAAAAAATGTCACTTCACTTGCTGGAATCATATGCATCTCCCATGACGATACTTTCTGTTTCATCAATGTTGATTGCCAAGAAGTTGAAAAAATAGTGAATCAAATTGAATTCAAAAGGCTTGGTCAGTAGTGGCAGTGGATGATCGAATTACGCTACTATCTCGCCGACCGCGACACAACGAGAGGGCATGGCGGGAACAACGAAGCCAAAACCTCGCGGAGGTCTGCCGGAGTGAGTCAGGGGTGGTTACCCCTTCACACCCTACCCACCAACCTGGCGACAGGGAGAGGCGTTGGCGCTGACGGTCTTTGATCTAGAGAACGATAGCCGAGAGTTTTGTAATTGTAGATGGTAATAGTACAACAACTCAGCGTTTTCTGTATTTGGACTGACTCCGGTAATTCGGTGACTTGGCTACGCATTGAAACATCACCCGGAATATAGTTTTACGTCATTGTTATCTTGATTTATGATTTTGGAATTGCGGAGAACAGTTGAAATAAAAGTTTTATATTTTTTTACATTTTCAGTTGCATCCTTGGTCACTACACAGACAATATAACGAGACAGCATTTGAAATTGAATTCGAATGGCGCTCTTCCAGCACTTACACCAAAATAAACTTTTCTTTAACAACTAAATATTTCTCCAATTGTGTAAACTAGCTTACAAACGTCCCTTTCCAAAATGTTCCAATTCGTTAAACCCTTGTGATCGTTATCCCAAGTTCACGAAAACATTGTACGTCAACACATAGCCAAGTATCTCGCCACAAATGCTCTTAATAATCTTCAATCTGGATTTACGGAAGGTAGAAATTCGCAAACGGCTTTACTACGAGTCACCGAAGACATTCATCAATCTCTGGATGAAGACATCATAGCAGTGCTAACGCTTTTAGATTTTATCAAGGCCTTTCATTCAGGAGACCATGACGTGCTTCTAGCAAAATGTAAACGCCTCGGCTTATCTGATGGTACCTTATCGTGGATTTAAAGTGGCTTTAATTTTTAACCAGGGAGTGGAATAACTTTCCAGTAAATTTTAGGAAATGTAAAGCATTGCTATCATTGAAAACACATTTAAATACCCATTTTCTGAGCTGTTCTTGTATGATGTGAATACAAGCACGCCCGAGAACAGGGCTTGGAATCTACTCCATTTTCTTGCTCCTCCTCCTCACAGGGACTCCGTTGGAAGCAGCCCTCTGCACATCGCGGCGCGCGCGGGCGCGGAGCTGGGCTGCCGGCGGCTGCTGGAGGCCGGAGCGTGCGTGAACGCGGCCGACGACGTGGCGCGCACGCCCCTGCACGAGGCCGTGCGCCGAGGCCAAGCGGCCGCGTGCCGTGTGCTGCTCGCGCACGGCGCCGCCCCCGACGCCTCAGACCTCCACGGCCGCACGCCTCTGCACTACGCCGTCGCACTGCGACTACGAAACGTTGCGGAGCTGCTGGTGCTGCACGGTGCTGACGTCAAGGCGGAGGATGTGGAGGTAAGCGGTTGGAGTCCGGCGAGTGGTAAAGGCGGTGGGGTATGCAGTGTGGAATTTGTGTTTGGATGCTGTTATCGTCCACTCCATGCACTTGGGAAAACTGATGTTCCGACATGATGGAAGATGTGGAAGTGAGGTGTTGGGACAGAGGCTTTGAAGAATTCGCGCTGAATACTGAAGTGTTGAAGAATTGTCGCTTAATCTCACTCACAGTTGCCAGGTCTTCATTTCCCGATCCCGCAGGGGAATGCTGCGGATCCAAAGCAGAACTAACGTCTGGATGTAAGATGTGGTGGTGCAAATATAGACAGGGGAGCTTCTACGTTTTTGAGGTAGAACCAGAAATATGGGGGTCGTAGACATTTTATCTACAAACATTTTTTGGGTAATAAAAGGCGTGATTTAAGTAATGTATTAATCATGTGTTTTATATACCACTGAAAGTATGTACACGTTTTCTTAAGTTTTGGCTTTGCAGATTGTAAATACATTTCGAACTGAAGTTATGTTAAAGGTCACTGAAACTGTCTTTACAAGTAAGTGCACAAAAGTAAAGTACTAATGGAATTTTAAACCAAATGTTGCATTCATTACAATAATTATATTGAAACTATTTTTAAATTGAATATTAAAAAAATAAAGTAATATTTGATTATATTATATAAAAAAAGTGGAAGAGATACAAAAATAAGGGTAAAAATTGGAAAATAAGCCTAATGAGAAGTTTTTATTATTAGATATGAAGCAGTTTGTAACATTAGTATTTAAAGTATAAGGAAGAATCCGTTTGAAGAACGAAACAGTTTTTCAAAACCTATCACGTTGTAAACAATTAATTTCTCCTGAAACAATTTTGAATTTTAAGGCCAATCCACGTATTGAATTAAATTGATGAATTCAATTTGATTTCAATGTTGTCTAAATGTGACAGTAAGTATTTAAATTAAATCTGCCATCTAACATTCACAGAAACTTTACTTCGCTTTAAATCGAAAACTAATTCCACTTTATTGGAAATGGCCGTTTGAATTCGAGGTTTTGTGCTCTAAACTGCAAGCATAGAGGAGGGTATATGGTGTTTTTGGTGGTGTGGCAGGGCAAGACGCCACTTCACGAGGCCGCGCGGGCGGGCGACGGGGCGCTGTGCGAGTGGCTGGTGGAGAAAGGGGCCAACGCCCACCAGGTGGACGAGGACGGCCGCACCGCCATGCACGAGGCGGCGACACACGGTGAGTAGCACAACTCTTCTTATTGTTAGTTAGATCGCTACGGATTTTATGTTGAAGCTCATTTCACATATAAGAGATACTGTAAGAAGGGAGACAAGGACGGCCGTACAGCCATGCACGAGGCGGCGGCATACAGTGAGTAGCACAACTCTATTATTATTGTTAGTTTGCTATGGAATTCATGTTGAAGCCCATTACGGGTTCATGAGGTATTGAGAGGTTAAGTAAGGCCTCACCGACCACGAGGCGGCGGCGGACAGTGCTGGACGACGAGACGAAACGACATGTAGATCTACGATCTACGTATAGTAGATGTCACAAGCAGATAAGGAGCGTACGTGACCTTCAAGACTACGTAAGCAAGCCAGCTAGAACGATCGATAATATGTATTTTTTCGCTCTATTCGATGTACTGCCGTGTGATATGTCAAGGCTGCTGCAGCGCTTAAAGTGTATTTCACAGTTCGTGCATTGGACCATGTAAGCAAGCAGATAAATACGGTCGCCCTTTCATGCACGTGGCTGCAACGCACGATAAACGACACATCCACGTCTTATTGCTCCCCACTTAAGCTGGATTTTGGATGCTGGATCTGCTGTTTCACGAATTCGACGGCTGCTTGTGCTCAGGGCAGAGAGGCTTCTACGTTCCGATGCCTTATGTCTTGCGTTGCTTGCTCCGTGTGCAGGGAGAATCGGCGCGTGCGTGGTGTTGGCGTCGCTGGGGCTGGCGCTGCACACACGTGACCATCGCGGGCGCTCGGCGCTCGATCTGGCGGCGCAGGCTAGCGACGACGTGGCGCACTCGGTGCTGCGCAGGGTTCCTCGCGCCACCAGAGAAGACGAGCCACCGCCCGCGGCGTCTTCTCGCACCCCGGACGATGCGGACTTCGAATTTCTCTGAGTGGAGGGACCTACCTGATTACATTAGGGTACCTGATTTGCCTCCACATGAAGACATCAAACGAATTATTCGAGCACATCGAGGTAATTGAATGAAAGTGAGCCTATTTATTAGTTACTTATCTTGTTAGAAAGATTCCAAACTGTTGATATTCAAGTGCTGCACAAAATTTGAAACAATTTCCTTCTCATTAGTAGATACTTTTGCTTGTAAAGTGTAATAAATTGATATTTATTTGCTATATAATAAGTCTCCATTTGAAGTTTGCAAGAAAATTCTCCATGTCCTCTGTTTTACAACAAATCTTTTCATAGATTCATTATTGAGGCAATTGTAATTTAATCAATAATCGAAGAACCATTTGCGTCCTAGTTTTGAGTTTTTTAAGAAAATATGTCGTAAATTTATTTTATACATACAAATAAAATGATATTCAATGTCAATTTTTTCAGTTTTCACTTTTTTATTTTAACTAAAATTCAGAGAGGGAACATCTAGTCGTTAGTAAAAAATTCAAAAACACAGTCAATAGAAACTTAGAATCTTAATTATTACATAATTATAAATTGATATTGTATTATATAATATTGATTATCAAGTTCGAGGAAACCGTTTATTTTTTTCATAAATCATAACAAAACATGTAGTATAAACAAACACAAACAAAAGTACCAAAGATCGTCAGGAGAAAAAGTTTGGAGAATACTGTATAAGAAACGCATCCTCTGCCCCAGTTCGTGTGAAAAGTCTTGAGAATGCTGCAACGGGTATGTCAGCCCAAGGGAACCCTAGAATAAAATTATATTACCGAATAGATTTACACGCTGCTTACTACCATATACTAAGTATATGCTAAAACTAGCATCAAATTGATAGCCTAATTTTCATACCACCCTATTTGCCGTACCTCTTTCTTTTCGTAATTCAATTTCATCACTATAATTTCTCTGAAAGAGAGGCTAAAGGTAACTCTAAAGGTGCGGTAAGTATATAAGGCACACATTTAATACGATTGCAAATATTTGAAGTACACCGTTACATATTTTCAACACATGCAATGTTACATGCTTTTGTTTTGAAGACACCCCCAATTTTCTGGGGACCAAATTTAAAGATATTTCACTTAATGGAAAATAAAAAACGGTACGTGAATGCATCGCAATGAAAGCATTGTATCATTCTCCTTACTACCTAACTACGTCCTCTATGTACCGTGAATTTTGTTTTCACCTGCGATATGAAAGCCCGATTTTCGCAGGAGAGAGAGTATCTAAGGGTACGGGGAGAGGATCCGCATTTAACGAAATTTACATTCGGCAAAACATGGCCGTTAACTACCGATGATTTCAAACACCCATTCGATAGCACCTCACACGACGAACTAAGTCAGTCATCATTAACAGAGTCACACTTGTTTTATTGGTTCATGAACGAAACTCTCTATGGAATACTTTCGTTCAAACATCTCAAATGATCACATATCACTAATGCAATATGAATGTAACTTGTTTACATCAATTTCATGTCATATCAAACATTTTGTATGTACCTATCGTCGAGAATGTTTTATCTTTTATATTTCAATTATATGCTACCTATTGCTATGAGATTTACACTGCCTGACAAAAAAGTGATTCACCGAGAATAAGTGGTCCAATGATATCCCATTTGGGAATACATAAGTACCATTGATGTGTGAGTAAGTGATTAGATTTACACAAATCTGTAATGCGTAGAACGCCCGCCTGAGTGCGTGCATTATGTCACCACCCAATTGTTGCGCAGTTGTTCTCAGTCAACTGTTGCGAGTAAAGAACGACGTTTTCTTACAATGAGATGCTCCGCGATGTCACGCAGACGCGTTCGGCAGCTTGTCTACCAATTGTCTGAATTTGACAGAGGCCGCCTTGTAGTACTTCGAGAGGCTGATTGATAATACTGGTTGTCCGGGCAATATATATATATATATATATATATATATATATATATATATATATATATATATATATTCAACTTACTTCAACCGAGCGAAGAGGCTGAGTATGTTGCGCGCAGGATTCGCAATCGGGTTCGATCCGCAGGCTGGCCATCCTGGCCGAGGTTTTCTCTGTTTCCTTAGGTCTCAAGAAGAATACTGGGATGGTTCCAAAACCCCACAATCGCCTCCGCTCATCATCCTAGTCTTATCACCAATCCTCATTGCCTAATAATAATAATAATAATAATAATAATAATAAATGTTCACTATGATTTGCAGGTCATTATGAAGATAATTATGCAGGTATTAACTATAACCCCATCTCGATCAGGTTTTTGTCCAGTTTCCCTGATCCATTGAGCAAATGCTGAGATGGCCCTGTGTTTGGGCTTCTGGACGTAAATGTAGATTCAATATGCGCACGTTTTGTTGAACTCTCCTTTTGCTTGTAATGGTAAGAGGAGAGGTAAGGCGAGTTGCTATTTTGTTAGCAATGCAGAAAAATCATACTTGCAATTCGTGTACCAAGGCAAATATGTTTTCTATAACTCAGAAACGAAAATGACTATTTTTCAAATATTTCTAATCTTGCCATTTTCAAAATGTACTTTCAAAATTAATTTTTTAAATTTATTTTTATAGATATATGTTAAATTTTTACTTATCTTTTAACTATTTATAGTTAAAATGACGGGAAGGGATTGTGGAAATAATGAAAACGTGCGCAGATTATTTTTCCCTCTTCGTCACAGTTTTTACTTGTTTTTTTACTAAATAAATTTAATTCTAAATCTAGAAACTGTTTACCATTAATTATAAATTACATATAACGCTCAAATTGCACATATTCATAAAAAATGTTATAAATTGGCCCCAATATTATGAATTTTAATAATTAAGTTTGGAAAAAATGTTACTGTAACAAAAAATATACTTTATGTGTAAAATATGTTTAATAAGAATTCAAGCAGATGTTACAGGTTAATTCTGTTAAAATTGTCTGAAAAGTCTTTCATGTACTTTTCAAAATATTTATCGTTTCTGAGAAATAGTATACTAAAATTTCGGAAATTAAAATAGGACGAGACAAGGCGTACAGAGTACCCTTATGGGTGTAACTTCATTAGAAGACGTTTACGAAGTATGCATGCATTTAAGGTTTTCAAAACAGCACCTTTTGTTCTATTAAGACACAAAGCTAAAAGGTTCTAAAATAAAATGGAAACTTACAATTATTAATTTTAATTTTGGGTGTGGAATTGAAACCACAAATTTCTGAAGGACTTAGTCAACATGAAGTGTCCGAAACCACCAATTCCTTTCTCTTTGAAACGTAGCTTATTCGATTTGTTCTCTTTCAAATGAAACTGCGGAGTCGTCACTCGCCTTTTCATTCCCTGAGAGCAATCATTGGTACCATACAATTTCTCTCAAATTGACGCACACTTCTCCGCTCAGCCACAAATCGGATTCATATTTACTTCCCACACATTGTTTGATTCAAAGGGAGAATTGCTGGCAAACCGTAAAACGTCTATCTCCTTTAATGTCTTTTTATTCGCACTTCCACTTTTTTCTTGTGGTAATTTCTCGTTAGTAGCGTATGTAGAGTTTTACTCTGGAAGGGAACCTCGAAGTACCTCGAAAAATAAAAATGTGAAAATTGGAAGAGAGAAATTCCATCCAACCTTTTGTTCCTAACAAGAGTTTTGTGACATTACCTCCGTCCTCGCACGAGTGGGAGATATCAAGATTAAACATCGACGCGCTGATGATAGCCAGATTCGATTCTGATTCTAAAACCAAAACCGCCGATATCACAGATACCCATTTCACCGACTTTGATATTTCGAGTAGTCTTTATTATACTTAATTCTTTGTAGAATGAAAAATTTTTCAACCCCACATTTTAGGTCCCTATTATCGAAAAAATTGTTTTTAGTTTTTTTGTTTTTTCTCGTAAAAAGAAAGACCAATATAATTTTGTGTCGAATATCGAAATGAATCTCTCATTGCAGGTTTGCAGTAATGTAAAAATGGATTATTTTCATTCATATAAAAGTATTAAATTACTTTCTTTAACACGTCGTGTGATACGAATCCATGTAGTGTGGGTCCTTGGTACAGCAAAAATCGATTGTTGGCAAAACGTCCGTTTGTCGTGGTCAACTCAGTGCCGGAAGCGTTCAGACAATTTTGTCCAAAATTGATATTCTGCGATAGATTTGAACGAACTTTAGACTCCGCAAGTTTGTTAGGGGTATTTTCATTTACATGAAGCTTTAACAAAAATTCAAAATTTTTCTCAAATAAGGCTTCAAATGTTTTGATAAAATTTATCTTCTGATGGCGTAGAAAATGCTAAAAATGGCGCACGTGTTTCTTTCATTGAACTCTCTGAATTTGTGAAATTTACAGTAGTTTCAAATTATTTTAACATGTGACAACGAACGTGATGTTGTAGCGTAACTATTTTTATCAAAACGTCCGTCCGTGTCCGGTAAATAAAAACTGTAACAAAAGTTATTCTTTGGACCCATGAATCCGCCACTCTGTCTGCCCGTCCGTCCGTCCGTCTGTCTCTCTGTCCGTCAGTCAGTCAGTCAGTCGTCTGTGAACAGCACCAGGGCTTAAACTTCGCATTTTTTTTCAAACTGAATACTCTTCTCTTAATCTGACCTTAAAGTTTTGCAATTTTGAATACCTTTTTTCTTTCAATTTTTTGGGCAATTTGGTAACGGTAATTTGCACGAAGCACCTGGGAAAGTTTCAAAATTTTCTCGAAAATGGGTCAATATTTTTTCTTTAAATTTATTCTAAAAATAGAATGAAATTTACTTATATAGGTGGCATATGACGTATTTTCACTGTTATATCTAAAAGTTGGATAATTGAAAAAGTTTGAAATTTATTCGGCGTTATCCTCCTACAAAATTGAGGATAAACATTTTTCTTTTAAATTAAACATTTCCCCCATACTTAGTTCTTTCATTAAGGTCATGCATATTTTTTTGAAACTTTTAGTTTTTCTCGCACAATATTAAATGAAATTTGTTAATTTTTAAAAAATATCAAAAACAAGAATTTCTAAAAACTTGCCCACTTTGTTACGTTAAAATTTTGAAAGGAATAGAAATAAATATACTGTATAAGATGGCATACACTATATTTTGCATTTTTCTTATCTTTTTGCAAAAATTATCTTCTTACTTCTCTCTCACTTCGTTAACATTTACATTAACGGTTATTTGTATAGATTAATGTATTTGTGAGATTGTGTGCTTCAAATAATAGCATATATTATTTATGGATAACTTAAAAGTTTTCTGTGAAAATGAACTGTAAGTATTTTTAGAAACGCTCAAACGCCATTTTTCCAAGAAATGTGACAATTTTAGCATATGAAAACCCGTCGATAAACCATACACAAAATCAATGGTATAACAAAGGTATATGGGTAGTATTTTAGTGCTTGTTGAGAAGTGGGTTGCTGAGAAGTGGATTTAGTAAACAAGAAAGCTTAGCGAAAGAGAATAAGTAACCAGTGTGGAAAATTCTGTGTCATTGTGTAACACCACTAGTTACAAACTAGTTACACACTAGTTACACACTAGTTTACTCCACCTCGGATACGTAGTTTACAGAAGAAAATTACTGGTTTCTGTTTACATTTTATTCGGAGTCAACTAACAAGATACAATCCGTTTCCAGGGACATCGCTTGAAAAAAAATATTTTTACAATAATGTTTACCTGCCTGTATAGAAGGGTCGATGTCACTCATATCTGTGATCTCTTAGTGCCGTTCCATCGTAGGTGGAGGTGATGAGGATATACATGAGGTTTTGAACCAAAAACAGATTAGAAAATATTTCAAAAGTCTTCTACTTTAGATTGAAACGCTTGACGCAACGTGATGAGGTGTGACGCTGGCTTCTCTATCTCCAATTCCCGACACACCAAATTCACTGGTTTATACAACTTGCATGATTGATTGTTAAATGTATTGGATGTTAACTGATAAATGAATAATTCTTAATTTTCACCACCTACTTTAGTAGGAACCCTGGAATCGGCCGTTACGCTACTTCCACTGTGCTTATTCCTCATAGCATTATTCTA